TGAAAGTATAGTAACTTTCATCATGATATCAAGTATTGGAGATTGCATCATTTTCGTTCAAAGCAACAATTAATAATGAATGCTTACTCTGATGTCTAGTAATTCTGTCAAAGGAGAGCTCAGCCTATCTGGTGTGTACAACTTTCGTTTTTGTTTCTCTAGGTTATCATCCTGTATATTTAAGATGGCATTTACTTATTATTAGAATGGGAAGTTTCTCGTTGATTTCATTTGAAAAACCATATGAACTTGTCTGATTGATTTGGATAATGCTTTGATGACTCATGTGGAACTAAATGCATGTCATGGCTTGCACTTCTACTCAAAACCAAACAGTATCATATAACTGTTATAAAGCACGATTGGTTTCCTGTTCTATATAAAATTAAACGTAAACCTAAGTGCTTTTAGTTAACAGTTCTGTCTATAAATGTGAAATGATGCAACATTTTAAGGCTATGTGTAACAGGGATAAATCTAACTCGAAAATTTAGTATTTCCCTCTTGTATTCATTCTCCCTTTCTCCTCAACGTCTTGATTCTCAATTTTGACTCACCTTAATGGTACTTGCTATCCCAATGTGGCGGTCGGGTTGCGCATATCACAACCATCCAAAGAGCTACGCTTGCTGTAACACTTCTTCACGGCTCTATCATACCAGAGAGGTCTGTTGTGCATAAGCGAGACAAAAAGCAGTTACTATCATAGAGTAAACAAACGCTACCATGGGGGTCGGGGAACGAAGTTGTACAGCTGATCCTATAGGGATTTGCTAGCCACAGGATGTTTCGCACAAATGACCAGAAATGTCATGCTGATGCTGCGTTTCCTATGGGAAAGAGGGATTGGAAAAAATGAGCCTAATAGATAGCGTACTCCTGTGTGCTCTACGGTCTTCCCATTTTTGTGGTATGGATTTTCTTTGTCTGGATGTAGCATAATTGAATCTCAACCCAACACTTTCAAGACCACCTTTGTGTTGCGGGCCTCAAGTAGATATCCAGGGCGGTCTTCTGTCACGCAAAACTGTTCCTTTTTATCTTTCAGATACCTTTAAAGAAACAAATTCGGTGGTGTGAGCAGTCGGGAAGTACCGAGTGATCTTACGCTTTCAGCAGTATACAAGCTCAACCAGCCGTCACCTACTTTTCTCACCTTTATCTTCTCTGTTAACTTCACTTTTTAATACCAGTATTAAGGCTTTAGGACTTAGTCGACCTTTCACCCTGCAACCATTGTTAATTATGCCAGCAAGCGAAGGAAACATCATTCCTATTCTCTTAAAATACCACTTTAGATTTCACATTGGAGCTTTCAATCTTCAGACCTTATCTTACATCAGATAACAAGCGTCATTAAAATGTGCAGTGTTTCTGAGACGCCTATATAGTACTCAGGAGTGGTTATTTACTGAACCTTACCCGGTCAATGCGATGAGCCTACCAAATTCACCTTATTAGTTGCCGGAGATTCAGTAGCTATCTGTCGTGAACTGTTGTAGGCATGGCATTGAGTTGCAAATCGAATTTCTCGATTGGATACCAGTCGGCAGCCGTCTGTGTGCATTTACCGTGAATAGAACTGTAATTCGTAATCCCCATCTACGCATCCACCGGCTGCAGTTCGTAATTCTACTAAAAGTTGTCTACTTTGTTACATAAAGCTAGTCATAGTAGCAAGCACCTTCAACCCTGAAATGGTCAGGTTGGGCTAATCAGAATAGCATCTTGGCGATATCTGTGATTTTGCATGTAAACGACCAAACAGTGACCATCGAAACTTATCATACATTCCTGTGTGACAATCACTTGTCTCTAACCGACTTCAAGCACAATGAAAAAGAGACTGTCTCACGTGTCTTCCACCAACGTCAAACCACAATGAGAAGCAAAAGGATTTCAAGCGTGAGTAAATTAGGGGGTCTTCGCAATAATCGCGAACACTGGTGATAGCAAAAAAAATGCCTGCAGTATCAGCATTATATAGTACTAGACAGTCATTGGTATTTATTGGGAAAACAAAACTAGGCAGAGAAAGGATGGTTAATGAGACTACACTAGTTTTTGTGTAGAAAATGAACTGCTCAGCTCGATAGCAGATATATATGTATAAGGAGAGAGATAGAGAAATCGACATGGGAGCTTGCATTTCTGCGTGGTGGTCGAAGTCAGTACCTCAACTAAGAATCCCTTAATATGAAAGAAAGAAGCAGTCGAAGGTGGCAAAAGATCACCAAAGTGTATACACTCCTCTCTTCTCTTTACCTATTATGGTCAATACAGTAATCAAGTTGGAAAGCCTCACATCAAAGTAATTTTGAAATCAGAGAACGTGAAGAGCTTATGTTTTCAAGCATGAATGTCTTCATAGTACTATCCAAATAAATTGGAATTAATATGTTAGTGAATATCAAGGTTAGGCGAAATGCAGTAGACAAGGAAGGGAAGGCAGTTGATGAGGTTGCGAACCTTCAGCTATTAAGATGGCTTGGTCATATGCTGCGTATGTCGACCTGCTGCCTACTTCGACTTGCAGTACTGACCTAAATAGGATTATGTTAGAAGAAGCCTGAGGATGATCAGACCAAAACGTGACACCAGTCGATATGATCTCCGGCCGTTCGTGTTAACCCTATGAGGAGGTGAATATTGCGTGGGTGAGGTCCTCTAGGTTGCAGGAATCAATGTTAGGAGACCTTTGGTGAGATGTCGGAAGATTGGTCACAATGGTGCAAATGTATCCACTTTTTGACATCTTCGAAAGCTTGAAGGTTTTCACTAACCTTGATTTTCGGATTCGTTCTCCTCCTATATATCTTTTTGTACTTTGATATCAGTCTTTTTCTGTCTCGTGATACCACACTCCAAATCGCGTACGGGAACTTCCGATGTCCACGCTATTGATCAATTCACCTAACAATCTTCGCTGATCAGCACATATGTTGTTTTTATGAAACAGACACATAGGATCCAAGTCTAGTGATACTTTTTCTCATATTCCGCTAATGCGCTACATCTGAGAAATCCTCTCTTCTAATTTGTGCCATCGGTTAATCTTTTATTGACTTCAGTCTCTAAATTTGGTTTTAGTCTTGCAATACTGGATCCATTTCCCTCAAATAATCATCTTTATCCATAGTTAGGTCTCTAGCTACTTTATCAGATCTAGTGATGGTGTTTCGGTCTTTTCTTTGTGTTTTGAGACCCTTCTGATGCTCTCTGATCAGTATGCATCTTGAAATATCACTTTTCAATATAATGATAACATCAGTTCATTAGTTTATTTAGATGGTCCCAACTCTATGCTAAGTGATACAACCGAATCTTCAGTCTGTACAAAAGGTTTCTCAAGTTATTCATCCATACCGTTTGTTTATGCCTTTTGATTCATACATTACTGATTACACTTTTCGAACCTGATCTGAGTTGGTTAGTCTGTCAGGTCATACATACCTATGGTTTTTTCCCTTATTACCCAATATCCTTACGTTTGCAGTGTTTTGTTGACTATACCAACTCCAAGCGGTGCATTGTTAATAACCTTAACTCCTATTGCGCATATATCAGTCATCGTAATTTTGTTGTATTGCCTTATGCTTCCGTACGATATTTTTGCTTTTGACCTATCAAATGTGTATCCCTCACATATTTGCTTTAAAAAAGGATAAGGTTGAAAAGTAGTCTCAAAGATTAGACGTTAATACTACAGTCACTAGTGGAGCTGTAGCTCAGTGATTTGGGGAAATGATTCTCAACGAGTGGGTCACGAGTTAGAACACCATTCCACTTACCATGGTTTTGGTAGCCAGTTAGTACGATCATTATATAGTAATGATGGTTAGTGGCTAGCAGTGGAATCCGGGACGCGCATTTCGTCCTGTTTGGGACTCGTCAGCTGGATGTACCTGCCTTCTAATGAGTGGTGTTGTTCCCACTGGGATTCGGACTCATCACAAGGTTGCTGAGCGTATTTCCATTTCGAGAAGTTACTGAAGACGAACAAGTCCATACATACAATGAGGAAATGTTCGATGATAGGCTTTATAAATGGGAATACTCAGTGTTTACCACAGGTCAACCTCACAACACGTGGAAATGTCTGTGTTTAATAGGCTTTTCATTGTTTATTACCCAACTTGTTAGTCCTATTCAAACTCAGTTATATGATAAAGTTAACACTTGAGAGGTATCAAAAATCACGATAATCGATCGGCCTTCGCTGAAAATTTAGGAAACAATACGGTGAGAAGTAATGTAAGTGTTCATCAATGGGATCGGTATAATGACTGGATGTTGGCCACACTAACAATGAGTAGTTTAACTCTAACATTTGTACATAAGGTTATTTTCACAATAAAGAAAGGGTTTGAATTGTTGAGTGGAACATTTTCTTGAGGTATAATGACTAATTGTTTGGTATACACTACTTTTAACCAATCTAAGCTGCGCACAGTTGCAGTTTCGCTTCGAATTCTAATGTAAACTGAAACTCTCCCATTTTTACAAAGATAATAAAATAATGAATGAGTAATCCAGTGGGCCATATTATTGAATTGATCAGTATGACTTTTTTTCAAGTATAAATAGCATGTTAACGTTAAACAGAACACGTGTTTTTCTTCTTTTTTTTCCTTGCTAATGGTCACCCATCGTTTCGGGATTCTTTTGTATATGTACATGGGGTAAAACATAACTCTAATTGCTTTTTTATGGTTTGATCTCTCGATGCTTACTTAATTATACGCTTGTGCGCCTGTGTGTGTGCATCTTTGATTCATTTTCACTATTCGCTTTTGGAAATCTGTGTATTTGCTTGTGTGTCTATTTGTGATGCATACTGTGCTATTTTTGTAATATCCTTTTTTTCTTCATACAACATTCATCTGTCTGTACGTATGCGCGCGCATGTATGCCTATTTTTGGTCGGAATATATAAATAAAACATGATGTCATTCGAAATTCTATATGCTAAATAATTGTGCTACATACACTTTGTTTAGAATTTCATTGTTGATCGCCCAATTCTATCTGATCCAATATTGTCTGTACCACTGTCTAAATGGCAATCAGATGATCTATTGTTATTATTCTCAGCTTCGTCAAAAGTCTCTTCTAATCGTCATCGCTTTATTGATGAATTTCAGAAACAACAACATTGTGCACACAATCAACAATATCATCATCATTATCACAATAATCGTAATCAATATCGCAATCAAAACCAAAGGAATCATCCCAATTTTCATCATACACCACTACAATCATCTAGGAGGGAGCCAATTCGCTCAAATCAGAGGATTCACGGTTCTAATTCATCTTCGTATAATCATAGTAATTATAAGGCTTCTAAACAGCATCTAGCTAAACAGGTAACTGTTTCTTTAATGCTATAAAACACTTTTCATGTCATATCAGTTAGTGTAAAAAAAAAAGCTGAACTGTAGAAGTTAGGTTTATAAAAGTACAGAATATTCATATTATTGGAAAAATTACCTCGAACAATTTGTAAGTCATTTATGTGTAACCTTTAGAAATGTTAGACACAAAGTTACCGCTAAATAATTATTGGTTTCTTCAAAACATTATTTAAGTGTTAAAGTTAAGCTGAGTTCTGGTCGAGTCAGGTAAGGTGAGGTTGTGTAACCACCCACACTTAACCACTCCGTACACTGTGCGATGATAACTGGAGTGGTATATCTTCCTAGTAACGCGGACTCTTCCCGGGTTTCTATGATGTAACAATGTATTTCTTGCATGGTTTTGCATTTGATAACACAAGATACCAACGATCTGAACTCCAGTGGGGAAACATTATATCCCATATGAATGAATGAAAGAAGTCACTTCTTCCCATGGAAATGGTAGTATCACTAGACAATGAAAAATTAATAAAAGTCAATTCAGCGATCAGAATTTCTTTCTCGACGAATAGTTTTCAAAAGCTGTACGTGGTAATCATAGTTACAACAAAATATGTATCCATCATCAACTAATGGGTCAAGATCGTCATCAAAACCGGTCAATAAGGTCACAAGGTGATAACGGCTAGAAGATCGGGTCAAGGTCACCGAAAATTGCTTATATGATTTTAGTAAATAAACAAGGAAATGAGCAAACTTTCTTAGGAAGACTACGACTAAATACGCACTCCCTTCGGAGTTTTCGACTTAACTTTATGAACGACTTTCAAAGAAGACTGTTGTAACCATAGATAACCAAGTGGTCGAGAATCAAGCTGTTGACGGCTTTACACTATCCTTTTGACAGCTGTGCAGAATAGTGTTCGGACATGTGTTTGGATAGAACAGGCTTTGTACGGCTTACGTAAACAGCTCCACAAGAGCAGGTGAATTAGTAAACACATATGGAAGTGCCCCAAAGTGACACTTTATCCCTTACTCATCGTTGAGTCAGTTGCTGACTGGAGAACATATTCCGAAGCTCGTCGAAAAGAAGGTCTCCTTTAGTGGTTTGGAAAGTCGATTCTTCAGTATCTCTGCCAGTGTATCTCCCTGGAATTCAATGTTCATAAACAATATCTTCTTTGGAACCGTAGGGGTTTCTTCTTGGAATCCTTAGACTTCATGTTCCTCTCAATGAATCCTAAAGTATAACCATTCTCGATTAATAATCTTTGAGGTACTTCCAGCTCCTCATTTACCACATCATCCGTTCAAGTTCAAATTCGTGTGGATAGTGAATAATGGATACATATTTTGTTGTAACTATGATTACCATGTACAGCTTTCGAAAATAATTCGTCGGAAAGGAAATTCTCTCCGATGATTTGTGTTTTATTAAATAATAGTTTGTCTAGAGGTATAGTGAATGAATGACCTTTCAATTTAGTATGATATACTGGAAAAAATATGAGTAATGACTATGACAGCCACTATAGTGCGTGTTCATCCTCTTTAGTAACACTTCTGCAAAAACTGCTACAATTACTTGACGTGTGATAACTTCTGGAACCAGAAGTGCTTTTAGAATATGCCGAAGACGCAGGGTGCCTAGGTTCAACAGAAACTGTCGCCAGTAAATAGTAGTCCTTAGAGAGAAGAAGATTCTAACACCAATGACACTATGCAAGATAGATATTCCGAATTCTAATGAGAAGCTGTGACCTGTGGGGTCAACCAGTTGTAAGTGAAGCTGATGTCAACTGAAGATCCCGAGTGATAGTCGCGAACTGACAGAAGTAGAAAACTCATCCATTGAACTCTGACCCAGTGGCTGATTGGTTGGCGCGTTCGTCGTGAAACCTGGAGGTCTTCAGTTCGATGGTCCCCAGTGGCATTATGTGTGCACTGCTGAGAAGCCCTATACTAGAGCAGAACAGCTTTTCAGTGCTCCCAGGTTTTGAGCGGTTCTACAACTGATGTCAATCCGTGATGAATGCCACAGTGAAGAGATATTACTCATTTCTCCCTTGGGTTCCTTGTCGAACATAGGGCTTCAGTAGCACGCCTCCGTTGCACTCTGTTCCCTGCAGTCTTTTCAACCTGGCCCCACAACTACCCACAAGCTTTCACTTCTTCGTCACATGATCTCCTCCATGTCACCCTAGGCTTACGCGCCAAACTCGTCGTTTCCCCTTTGGATTCCACTCGAGGGCCCGGCCTGGCGCGTGGTGTCCCCAATCAGCCTTCTCAGTGTATGCCGAATCCATCTCCACTTTCTTCTGCATATTTGTTAGGCGGTAGGTTCTTGGTTGGTTCGTCAACAGCCAGAGTTCCTTGTTGCTTATTCGTTCTGGCCATCTGATCTTCAGTATCAAGCCAGCGTAGGCGGCAGTTGTTGATGAATGTCTGTAGTTGGTTGGAAATGCCTTTCGTAACGCGCCAAGTCTCTGAACTATATAGGAGCACTGACTTGACATTGTTGTTGAAAATCCGGATCTTGTTCCACATGCTGAGTGCAGAAGATCTCCACACTGGTTTCAGGTTAATGAACGCCTGTCTTGCTTCTCCGATCCTGGCTGCCTTGACGTCCTCGTCTGTGCCACCGCCGCCTGTAGTTGAAACAGTGCTGCCTAGATAGGTGAGAGGCTACTTCGTTTAGATTTCTCCCGTTGATGGTGATTGGAGCTTGTTGTTGATGCTGTTGTTTGTTGGGTATCTTCATCACCTCTGTCTTCTCTACGCCCTCCTGAAGTAAGTTCCGTCTTCGCTGCACTGCCTCTTCCGTCGACTTGTTAGTTTTCGCCTATTGATCTTCGAGTTTGTGTGACATCAGACATAAATCACCATCGGCGAAATCCAAATCTTCTAGGCTCTTTTCATCGGTCTGGCCAGAGTATGCTCCTCACAGTTTGTTGCCTGATGCAGTCCAGTTTAGTCGACCACAATCAGGAAGATCATCGCTGATGTATAGTAGGCAACCTTGTCTTACTTCTGTCTTCCCTTTGAATGCATCACTGAGCTTTCCAATCAGTCAATCACCTGGCATGTGGCGTCGTCATATAGCTGTTGAGTGAGGTTGATAAAGGTTTGTGACACTCCGTAGTGTTGAAACAGTTTCCAAATTGTTTCTCGGTTGACGCTTTTGAAAGCCTTTTTCAAAGTCGATGAAGTTGAGTTAGAGGGTTGACTGCCATTCTATACTCTGTTCTATGATGATGCGTAGTGTAGCGTTGTAATTTGATCTGCACATGATTTTTACTTCCTGAATTCAGCGCATCCTTTAGTCTCTCTAGGATGATGCGGTCTAGTATTTTGCTTGGGGTGGACAGGAGTGTGACTCCCCAGTTCTTGCAAAGACTTATGTCACCCTTATTTGGGAGTTTGACAAGGTAGCCCTTCTTCCAATCAACCAGCAGGTACGTTTCCTTCTCTCCTTGCAAACCTTCTGCAATAGTGGTGTGAGCATGTCCGCTGTTGTCTCTGCGTCTGCTCTCAGTGCTTCTAGAGCAATTCCATCTAGTCCTGCTGCTTTCCCACATTTCAATAGCTTTATGCTTTCAGGACATCGACTTTCGTCAGAGGATTTGCGTTCACTTGTAGTTGTGTGGCTTCAGGTGGTATTTCTTTACGAAGTGCCGGTGGTGGTCGATTCAAGAGCTTTTCAAAGTGGTCAGCTCATCGTTTTCTCATCTTTGGTAATTAAATTTCCTTCATCATCTTTTATGGGTTTCGTCTGAGTTGTTCTCTTCCCTCCCAAATGGTAACCTGGTTATTTGATACATGCAGCCTGTTCTCCTTCACTTGCCAATGTGTCGTGGAAGTGTCTTTTGTCTTTGCGCGCACTCTTCTTCACTTCTTTGTCCAGTGTTTTATATATTGTACTCAGTTCCCCTTCTCGTCGTTCATCCTTGCAATGGTTCATCTTCTGCTTCACCATCCTCCTCTCCTCTATCAGCTTCCATGTGTCCATCGAGATCCATTCCTTATCTTCTTACTTCTTCCTTCCTAATATAATTATGCAGGTTTCTTTCCACATAGCTTTCAGAGAGTCCTAGTGCTCATCCACACAGGTTTCTTCAAGGATATTCCTCGATATCTCCCATTTTGTATTGATGGCTGCCGTGAAGATTTCCTTTGTAGTTTCATCCTTCAGTTTTCAGGTGCGTTTCCTTCTCTCCTTGCAAACCTTCTGCAATAGTGGTTTGGGCATATCTGCTGACGTCAGTTTTCAGTGTTTCTGGAAGAATGCCATCTGGTCCTGCTTCTTTACTGAATTTTAGCAGCTTCATGGCGTTCAGGACTTGCGCTTTTATTGGAGACTTGTGTTCACTGGGAATTCTGTGGCTGGGCTGCTGGTGGTATTTCTGGACGAGTTGTAGGTGGTGGTCGATTGAAGAGTGTGATGTGTACTCGCGATATGGATTTTGATGATCCAATCACTTGTCAATATCTTTTTAGAGTTGGAATTAGGTTGAATATGACAATAAGGAATGATGTTATAGGAAAAGTAATCAGGGAAGGATAATAACTTACGAGTAGTGACAAATTCTGTTTCAGTACATAAGGAGGCTTAAATTTGCATATGCCTCACATCAATGAAGATGTGCACTTGGGTAATGGAACGCGTCCCCTGGTGCTTACTGTAGGAGTTAGATTCACAAAAAGTAGGAAGCGCAGGTGACAGGTGTAGTGAGTAATACAATTTTCCTGTGATATATTATGTAGACTAATCTTATAGAGAATGACTCTCTACCACAGTTCTAATTTTTATTGATAAGAGTAGACTTGATTTGATGTGGAAAGAGCACGAAGCAGGACAGATTCTATCTTATGGCCGTACAAAATAAATGATCTTTAGGAATCAGAGATTTACAGCAACTTTTTTGTTCAAAAGTCTTAGGGTAGCCTGCCTTTTTATCTAACACGACCGTTGTAGTTAACAAAGGGAAATAATTTGCAGACGTTCGAACGAAATGTTATCTCTGTGCTTCGACGGAACACATCCTCTAACCTATATCAGTTTCTCAATATTTATTTGTAACACTTTAATAACCATTATTTTATGGGCACATTGCATTAGTTTTCCTTTTGTATCCACTACAGAAAAACCATTCTGGGAATCTTAAAATGAGTAAGGAGAACTCTACTGACGACAATAACAACAGTTCAGAAAATCAAGTAAACGATGATTTTTCTAGATGCGATGAAGCTATAGAAAACTCAACGTATTACGAGCAGGACATAAATTGTGGAGTTTTCGACATAAATTGTCATGAAAGAGCGAGGTCTTTCCTTACTCTGGGTATTTATGATAATGAAATTTCCCAGAATGATGGCTACACATATTCTACATCGGAAATAAGCATGCACGGATTATACCGCTGTCACTCACTTCCTTCACTACGAAATTCCGAGAAGAACTACCAACCATTATCGTTTGAAGACTGTACGACACCAACGACTAGTGTGAACGCTAATGGGGTCACACACTTATCGACAAAAATGAGTCAAATTAACGTTATCGAAGAAACGCCAGATGTAAAGTTTGAAAACTCTGATTCATTGAGTGCGGATAACTGCAACAATATAGCGGCAGAGGAAGCCATGAAACTCAAAGATACACAGTAACAACTGTTGACAAGTACTTCACACAAGTACAGAAAATTATTTTCGGCATAGAAACGCCTACTTTACTTTCAAGCTGTGTAACGTTCTCTCCTACTTTTTTTCTTTAGATTCATTTTGTACTTGAGCAATCAAAATTACTGCATATTTTCTTTTTGAACACGCAATTATTTGATTATGATGTGATAGTTTTTCATGAACAAATAAGAAGTATCAGGTAATAAGTTTCTCTATTTTATTGGCTTTCAAGTCTGTACATAAAAATTTAAAGATAATAAGACCGAAAAATAACGGCGATGACAGTAACAGAATCCGTTTTTCGGTGGTCAGAAAGAGATGGAAAACTAAAAGTCAATGTATGCAATAGTCATAAACATGAGTGTTATTTGTCTGCAAACAAATATCCAGATGGTGGAGCAACCAGTCAACGGTTCAGTTGTAGTAGAGCATTACATCCTCATACTCCTTTTTTAGCTGAGTGATGCATCAAGAGTTGGTGTACATTTGACCACAGTCAAAACACAACATACGTCGCTCTAGTTCACTGGATAACCCGTTCAATTTTTTTTTTGTTGGGTGGCTTTTTTAGGTTTACACTCATCACCATGAATGCTTTTCACTTTTTTTTATTGAAATTTTCCTTTTTATAATAAAATACCTTCCCAACATGTACATATTTACTACGGGCTAGGTGAACGAGCGTAACACACACACACACACAGACAAAGTTCAAGTCAAATGAAAGCCAACATTCTAATGAACAGTCACAGCTAAAATAAAAAGCATGACGAGTAATGCTCTCTAACTAAACCGATGAAAAATTGCAACACATCAGAAAAGATGAACGCACCAAGATAACACAGACATATATACATTGCACAGACTGAAAATTAGTTATTAGTTATGCAATAAATGCTTCAGAAGGTATTTGGCCAGCTGCGCTCATAATTTCAAAGGCATTAAATGCAGCATTGGCGTCCCATTGGAATTCTTCTAAGCACTTTTTTGAATAAGGAATGTTCATGCCAGTACGTTGACTGAATTCAGTTACTATAGCTTCGTTAACGTCAGGAGTAGATACACTAGGTGCCAGTAATTGCTGTTCGGGAACTTCATTTGGTTGTCTGGATTTAGCAGCCATTTCAGTAATATATTTCTGGATTGAAAAAAATGTTAGCGAAATGATAGCACTCAATTATTCGTAACGGTAGTAGTAACGAAAATGTACATATCAAATATGCTTACAACAATGATGAAGCTACTGATCGTAAAATACGCACTGATTAACACAGAAGCTGAATTTAATTATTCCACTCAGTGTGTAGGTCGGTGCTTACACTCTCTACATGCTCATGACGCTGAATACGATTTCAAAATCAATCTTATTTCTCTTAAAGAGTTCAATTTGATTTCCTTTATGATGACGTTAACTGTGTGGTATTTGATCATGGATGTTCTATTAGGCGCATGTGAGATATCCGACTATGAGAAATGGCCTCTGGAAAAGATATTAGGCGATTACTTTTTTTTGACCACAGATGTCGTCATAGCATTTTTTGAAAGTGGTGGTCATGGGCTTGAATCCCGCCCTATCTACCGAGGTTTGGGCAACCAAGTAGCACCATTTTCTCTCACATATTAGGTGTGCCTTATTGCACGAATGTGCACAATGTGATTGAGTTTCGTTTCGTATGTGAGCAATGTTGAGGTTAGGCAAAGAATATAAGCAAGTCAGCTGATGTTGTCAACCTTCACCGAAGAGGTCCTAGAGATTTGTTGCTAATGCCAAAGTTGAATGTTAGCCGAAAGTTTGGAAATATTCACTAAGCAACGCTGATTTATTCTCTCTTCACGTAAACACTTTTGTGTACCTTACATTTTACTTATTCTTTGGGTGCTGCTGTGAAGTGACTTCATGTTGTTTTGTTTGTCTGCCATATTTTCCTGTGTCATTTGTGATATTTAAAGCCAAAAAAATGAACAAGAGACATGAATCTTTCAGAAAAATACCATCTAAATATCTCGCTTATGGATTTATTATCGTGATACAAATTCAGTGAAGTGATAAATATACATACATCTCATCCACATTTTCGTTGAATACTGTGATCATCCTAAGTGATCCACGTTTTCAGGCTCATCAAAGAAAATTTATTTTTCACAATGTTCATAATCATGAAAATGAAGCTTCCCTAGCGCTCAGGTTCTCATCAAGTACCATGAATTTTCCATTCGTTGACACTTGAATTTTTCCCACGACTGTGTCAACAACCTGAAATCAACTTTAGCTACTAGCTTTGTAATTTACAGTCATGATTTGAGTTTACAGAATGGCATCCCTGGTATGATGAAACCGCATTTCAAGATACATTTTGAACTTCAATCAATCCAGTAAGTAATACTGTTCCTTTAAGTCAGCCTTCCTACCTGACCCCCTTTTTATTTTCTCACCCCTTATCTTCATGAGTTTTTATATAAATACCTATGACAAGTACGTGTGTGATCAGATAGTTCGAAATGTGTTGCGCAAATACATTACACGGTTCAGACAATTTACGTCTTCTTATTGTTTTGTCGAATACTGTTCCTATTTAGGATACATCCAATAAATCAACTAAAATGTAATTACATTCCACCACGGTATCCAAGTTTCACAGCTATACTATTAGCTTTTTGTAGCGAATAAACTGCGTAACGAGAATGCTCATCCCATATATATATATATATATATATAAATATATATATATATATATATATATATATATATATATATGCTACTTACTTTACACAATGTTATACTTGGGTTTGACACAATATAATCATCTTGTACTACGTGACCACCAGGAGCAACCAGTATCATAGTCCGTGTAAAGCATCGTAGGACTTTGCGAACTGACTTCTCAGGTATATTTGAACTATTAGTAGACGAACCAACTGGTAAGACCTCATAAAAAACGCCGCTCATGGTGAATAACATTTGAGTTGTCTGTATGGGACACAAAAAAAATACAACACGTACAGATTGATGCGAATCACTTGTAAATATAAAGCATATAAATTTGGAAAAAATACATATCGCAATGAAGAAAACCCTACTGAAGGAAATATGGTGAATTTGCACAGAAATCAATAATCAAGACATGCATAAGACATCTACTCTGAGGGTTGATGATAATACCTGGCTTCGGAAACCTCGGTAGGTGAATCAGGCTAGGATTTAGTGACCCATTGTCTGAGTTAACCGTCTTAACCAACAAACCGCCAAATATAAAATGTACCTGTCATCAGTAGCCAAACCTAGTAAATACATTACATCTTAAGTTTTTCTCGCAGAGATAACTACTGCAAAACTTTCATACGCAAAATCATATCTACAACATTTTCAACTCAATTCTTTTAGTTTTCAGAAAACAATGTGTAGCTCTCGGAAGATAAACTTGATTACAGTTTGTTTCTTAAATGTGTCACATATTGGATAACGTTCAGAAAAATGTATTGTATTCACACCAGGTAGGAATGTGGACAACAAATGATGTTGGGAACGTTATCCTGTACACAATACTGTTCCATTGTTTGCCACTTCTAAGAAAAAACTAAAATGGAAGTGCATTCTACGGAAGTGAAGTTTTACTTGACATTAAATCATTTTTTGCGATTTATGCGTGTATTTCACATCAATATAAACCGAAAACTAATATACAAAGTGAATTTACTGCACAGATTAACGTAACATGAATCGTATAATCTAGAATAAGGGAAGCTCCAACATCAATATATATCAGAACGCCATGTCATGTGGCTACAATCTTCAAACTATGTATCACTGAAGTGGCTGTCGGTTGCAACATCACATAATGCACGGTTTGCGTGAATAAAATGAAAGTATGGCTGGCATTTTTTAAAAACTAGATCTCTGAGCACCTGTAGATTTATAATATCGATTTTCCTTCAAACAGCTTTAAGATTTAATAACATAACTTTAATTGCTTATCGTTTTTCCTGACTATTCTTTATTATTAGTTGGCAGTGAATCAAAACTTACCGAATGAAAGGCAACATCCACAGATAAGGATTCTAATTGATGTTCCGTAGCCGGTAGTTCATCCAAAAAAGAGGCAATCGCTAAACTACCGCGAACAATCATATCACGCCTCCTAGTTTGGTCTCGGCAGCGAAGAAGATTGCGACTTTTCGAAAAGTAAGCCTGTGTTAATCGAGATGTTGTCAGATATGCTGTGGTTGGGCGACCAGATTTATCTGTTGACTCAACACGCGCGGTAAATGATACATTTTGTGCATTTGGAACACGAGATTCCGGAGAAACGGAAAAAGCGAGTTGAGATACAGTTGTATAATAAGGTAAGAGGTTTTCCCCACGAGGTTGTGTATCATAGCGATTGAGATAACTGAAAGTTAACAGAAACACAAGTGTAAAGTTTAAGATACAGATCAAATTAAGATGTTTATAAAACTGAAGACTACGATTCTAAAAACCACAAACATTTTATGACAAAAGATTTTCCTACACCTCACAGGTGAAAGGGAAGTCAGTGCTGTAAACACAACTAATTATTGTCTGACATTTTCGTTGAAAAATTATAATGACCAAAACCTGATGGTTAGGTGCTGCAAACAGTCACCCTTCTGCCTTTGATACATTTGGTTTCCGAAACCGAGAGAAATCATTTCAGTAGGCAAACACAAGTGGTTGATGTGTATGCTGCGCATTTATTGCACTAAACAGTATTTAAATTCTGTAACAGGGTTACGGAGAGTTGTCTTCAGAATTGACAAGAACTAGGTCTCCACCAGGGATGTCCTGTCACGTTCTTATTTAACTTCCTCATAAGAGTACTAATGGACATAAAACTAGGTACGTTTGAATGCATAGGGATGAACCTATTCCCTAGAGGTCATCTGATTGACTGGGAGCATACAGACGATTTTGTCCAGCTAGATGAAAACGCTGAACGTGTGGAGCGGAAATTTGAGTATGCTGGTCATGTTTCGCACATGTGAAATGAAAGATGATGCTCCAAGGCTGGTCTGTTGCAAGTACTGCTAGTTTAATGATATAGAGTGAAGTGGTTGAATGTGTCGACTACTTCACTTACTTGGGAAGTCGGATCAGCCCGAACGGGCTAGTTACTAACGAAATCTCCACTCGGTTACAAAAGACTCGTTTGGCATTTGCCAACCTGCGTCATCTGTGACGCCGAATGACAAGATATCCGACTATCTATCATAAGACGAGTGTACTGCGCTGCAGTTCGTTCTGTCATGTTACACGGACGTGAGACATGGCCGATTAAAACAGAAGGCATGAAAAGGTTACAGGGTTTTAATCACACATGTCTTCGTAGCATTGCTCACGTTTGCTGGAATCACCGAGTGAGCAATGCTCAGGTCAGGTGAAGGGTACTAGGCAAGACAGACAAGTCAATTAACGAGGTTGTGAATCTCAGTCAACTGAAATGGCTCGGACATGTACTGCACATACCCAGCCACCGCCTTCCTCCACGTACCATGCTAGAGGAAGTTGGATTAGGTTGGAAGAGGGCTCAGGGTGGTCAGACCAAGGACGTAGCACTAATGTATGAAGTCTCTTACTGCTGATCTGAGTGGTGTGGGGAGATGTAGACTGCCTGGTTGGGGTTCCCGAGACAAAAGGAATCGATGGTTGAGGACTCTTGGTGACATGGCTGAAAATCGATCACAATGTCGTGGATGCATTCATTTCATGACGTCTTCTAAAGCTTAAATATTCACACAATCTGTTATCTTCAGATTGTTTACTTTCGCACAATACTTTATCTTCTTTGATATCACTCTCTTGCTACGTTGATTTTGTCAGTCAGTCAGATATATATGCGAACGAAAGGGACGCTCTTTCAACATCAGCAACAATTTCAACTATGGTCTGCGCGAGCCAAAAGTGGTTTTTAATCACACATAATGATTATGTTACTTACTCTGAGCGAAGTGGCTTAATTGTGGAACTTTTGTCTTTACAAACACCAACAGCACTGACTGCAGTGTAGATCCAGTTATCAAGATTTCTCCGTGATTTAGTAACTGGTCTTGATGAAGAGGTGTGTGATCGGTAGTCCACCTTAATTGTTGCTACCGGCTGCACAGATTCTATTATAAGCTGTTTAGTTGCTAGCTGATGTCCATGTACACAAAGAAGTGGTTGGATGTCAGCCAGTAGATGAACGTCACGATATACCATCCCTCATATCAATGTATGTGGACAACTGTGAGTACGAATTCAATTTTGAAAATGTCGGCCAGTCAATATCTACGTGGCGTCTAACATCACTGTGCAACGGTCCAAATTATCACACTTCATGCTAGAATATCGAAATGCACGATGAAGTAGAAATGTGGATAAATGTAATCCGAAGTTGTAGAAGGAGAGAAGAAATAATGAAGTGTGGTACAACGATTAGGATGAAAACGTGTGAATGCGTTTGCGCTATATTATCAAGCGTCTCCAGCAGTTTGATACCACGTTTAGTCTGGATGCTTTCGATTTCTTCCCAACCCGGACCTACTCGGTTACTACTTTAAAATTGTAGAGATCATTCAAGGAGAAACCCTGATAGCTCAATTTACAACGCAGTCGCGATACCTAGGAAAACAATGAACACTTGACGGTTAAATCACTTAGCTCATCGAACGTAGAAGAAGATCGTTTGCCTGAGTTATAAATATTTTACATTTCAATTACACATGCTTGTGATCAGGTATATTAAATTAATATCAACCAAGGGAAAACTGCCTAACAACATTTACCAAAGCACTAAAGCTAAATATAATGAGCTACAAAACAAAGAACTCACAGTTTCAAAAAGCTCAGCAAAGCTATTTTTACTTCATCACTTGGGAAATATCCTAATATAGATTGAGGGAGAGGTTTGGGTTGCGGTCGTTTTGTCAAAGAATCAGAACTTTGCTCAATAGCGAACTGTACAGTCTGAGGTAAATCTTCTCCATTCTGAAATAAGACAATGGTTAAGTGGAACTAACGTATCGCACTGACTTCTCGTTAACAAAGAAGAACCTTTGTTAACTTCTTATTTCACAGGAGAAATAGGTTTGAAAAAATATATAATCGAATGTATATGTACAGGAATTCTTTTAATGTCTATATTCTAAGCAAGGAAAAGAGTAACAATGAACAAAGGGAAAACTGAAATTTAAGTCCTAGTAGACAAACAGAAGTTAATTTGTCTGAATATGTGCAGTTTACGCTAGATTATAAACTTCTTTAAGTTAGTTAACAGTTGGCAAAAGCTTGATCAAGCCCTGTAAAATTTGTGTTCTGACGATACTCTTTGCTATTAAACGTCTCATAGATTCCCTATCGGTAACTTCCATTACATAGCAAAGCCAGGGCTGGCTGTAAGAAGCAAATGATTGATCACTCTACGACACAACACAATGGTGTTAGCATCTGGCAGTGTAAGCGACATCTTGAATTCAGGATACTACGTAAATTAGCAGCTTATGCTCAAAACCCACGTCGGAACAATCCTACTACAGACAGGAATATGCAGGTTTGTGCATAAAGCAACCGGCCATAACTATTGCTTGAGGACTAATGATGTGATCTAGAATAGGATTTAAACACTTTTTTTGAAAATCGAAAATCTAGATAGATCAACTATTGCTTTATTGTTATCTGATGTCATGATAAGCAGATAAAATCCTAAAATTCTACTTTAGCCTTGTTCTTTTTCAACAGTTTTTCATATTACTGTAATATCTTTTCATCATCTGGACTTTAGACAATTTCCCTTTACTTTTATGATCCATACTCAGATATCCCATCTTACACTCTTGGTTCCAAGTGCTGGAACAATACATCATGGATCCAAGATGTTTGCATCATATGCCCGATAAATTTATATTTAGACATAAAACACAGGCAATTCATAAATAACATGGATATTATTCAGAAGATAAATATTAAAATATTCCGAAACAGATGAAGTTACCATTGAACCTTTACCTTAAGATATTACAGGTGGGCACCAAAACAGTAAGGTTATCAGTCACACAACAATAAGCAGGATTAGTATAATAACAAACAAAACAACTGAGGGTTTTGTTGTAGCTGTCAATAAGTAGCATAAAATCAAAACGTGAAGGGTTACAAAAATAAGGAATGTATAGCTTCGGATCGCCATGTACACTGAACGTATGTGTGAGTTGAAAATTCGCTGAACGACAACCGCTACCTTAACATGGTCAAGGTTGGATATCACAATAACACAACGAGTTATGCTGGTGGGACACTTGTTCTCATGAGGTCCTACCATGAAACAAAGCTTTGTTGTATAGTGATAAGACGAAAAGCAGTTACCATTGTAGTGTAAATTACTACACTACGATGGGGGTCTGAGGGCAAAGTTGTACTGCTCCTCTCGCGCGTGCCGACGCCTGCCTGCAACAGGTAATCATTGTCGGATTCGAAAGCAATACAAAAAAATTTCAAACTTGTCAAAAAGTCCTATGTGACCGGCCTTAAGCAGATGTCCTATGGGCTCTGCAGTCACACAAACCTTTTTTCTCTTTCAGGTACCTTAGAAAAAATAACCTTTCACGGTATAGGCAACCGGGAAGTGTCAGCCAAGTTTGAAATCTAAAATTTTACCTAGGCGGCTGATGACAGTGAATGCTGATTTCGAATTAGGTTGCTTTCTATCACTTTCTCCTGTAAATAGTGTATGGCTTCCTTTTTGGTCCCACTTGGCAGGTCCTTGGTCTTCAGCAGGCGATAAGTGATTGCGGGCCGAAGTATTTGGTGTCGTGTGGTAAATCAGCAAAAAAGTATTTGCCTGTAATACATCGTCTGCGGCAGAGAGTGATGCATGCTTCTGAAGCAAGTGCTCCGGTAGAGACTTATCAGACATATTAGACGAAACCACAACATGACAGGATGACATTATTGAATTCCTGTTTATGTATCCAGTTCAAACCAAGCAGGTCCAAATCATGACTATTTGTAACGTGATTTACATAATTGAATTCACATTCTTCAAACTAGATGTGGGAGCTAATTCCATTAACGAGTTTTAGCACATCTCTGTGTTGGGGTGGAATGTTTGGTGAAATGTACTACTTTGCACAGCTACGCATCGTAAAACCGCTTGAATATTTGTACTAACCATTATCTATTCTCTCACAAAACTTTGTCTATTTTGATATCAGTCTTTCTATGAACCTGTTCTTTGTATACTACTGTGAAGTGTGACAACCTGAATCGATGCACTTGTGTGTGAGGTTCTTCGTTGATTCTTTTTGTCTGTCCAAGTTAAAATTCTGTAGATAACTTCGGAAACGATATACTAAGACTTAAGATAAATCATACACTGTCATGAATATAAGAATAAAGAATTAGTTCAGTTTTTGCTTACCACACGTTTGATAGTTGGCAAGATTTTGTGTAATTTACTGGGCCGGTCACGGAGTGGTTTCCGAAACAAAATCCCGAAATGGAGCATGAAACGAATAAAATTACATACTTCTTCGAAAAAGCAAAACTAAAAGATGTATATACAGCAAAGTAAAGATTAACAAGTAACCAACTATATCCAATATCAGACCCAATACAGATGACCAGGATGTCGCTTTGAAAACAAAACGTGTTACTTTCATTATCAAAACACAAAATAAATTAAACCTTATGTAAATCTATTGTGCTAATTTAATGAGCTTAATCTGTCAGCCTATGACTCTATTTATTACCCCGAATGCATATCATATGAGTGAATAAAACGACAAATTTGTATTTGTGATTAAAATTCTCGCTAATATAGTGTAGCAAATGTAATAGTTCACTGAGTCGTCACAATTTCATCAGTTAATTGTGCATAGATTATTACTGGTCAATGTGTTCTATCACGTTTGTGTGTACTACTTATATTACATCGTTTTGAGCTAAGCATGCAAATTTCGGTACCTTTTGTAGGAAACCGTTGGTATAAATTCTAGCTACGCCACATTTCGACTGAGTAAACGACAGTGTAACTGTCAGGTGGTGGCGCCAGAATCAAATTAATCGACATGAACTGCAAGACATTATCAATGAATGACCCCAGCTTCTGAGTTAACACATTTATGTTGCAGTGTCCATTATCTAGTATCACATTTATTGTTGCCCTGAAGTCGTTAAATGAGCCCTGTTGCAGAAAATTTACTGTTATAAGACTACTAAGAATGCTAGTGTGATGGATAGCAATTGTCTACGTCAGGTTCATAGGAAAAGCACAAATGCTCGATATTTAGCAGGCATGAATATCAAGGGGAAATAAAAACGCTTAGTTAAAACATTAGTTTCTCTAGCACACATCTGATATAATATAGATTCGAATACTCACGATAGCTGAAAAGAATCATAAACAACAATGAAAGTACATCGGTCAGATGGGACATAAATACCTGGTTTGTAACTGGACTTTGTTCATATATCTCATAGAGTTCATCAACAATTCGAATATATATTCCTTGTTTGGCAACCAAGTGTTTCAACTTTGGTCGGTTTTGCTTTGGATTTATTTGGGAACTCTTGAGATTCGTATCTTTGTTACGAGCTACACAGTGATTTCAGCCATAACACTGACCACGAGATCTATGTATCTACACAACCTGGATGAAACCCATCATGTTTTTCTCTGACCATCTGCTGGTGTGCTTTGCGAGGTCTGTGAAGTATAATAAGCAACTAACATTTTAGACACTACTGGCGGAAGACCGATGATCACACACTTTATGAAGTAGGCTTATTCTAGAGTGCTGCAACACTCAGTTTGTCATGCCTTCCTAAGCAATACAATTAGTTCCTTAACCATTGTCAATTTTATCTCATAAAGGAGTTTGAGAGTCCGAACCAAGTGCCTTATCACGCTTTGGTATTGGAAGTTCCTTACAAACTTCCGGTTTGCTAGGCATTGAGGTAGAAGGCAAACATGACAATGAAACTGAGACAACAAAATCAGATGGATTCTGCAAGAAAGGTGTCGTACTGACTGTAATGAAATCAAATGGTCCGACTCAAACTAGATCATTCCATGTATTAGAATCAACAAGATAAGAAATTACTGATCAAAACTGTTGGTTATAACTCCTCTGTACGGCACCAGATAGGCTACACATTAGTAGCAATAAAATTTCAGAAGTAAAATTGACCTTATCCGTCCTATTGTTCAATAAAATTAATACCCAGTGCACCAGACTTTCTTAATTTTCTGGTTGGAATTAGTGGCGCCAATAGGAATCCACAACACAACACTATGTGACAGTCTAGTCTAAGGGAGCTGTTTTGTAGTAGGATGAACTGCATTTTTATACCGCATACTTGTCCACAATCTGCAACGCTGGTAATACTATCATACTGGAAAGCGAATTCGCCTATTCAGATTCACTAAGCACACGCTGATTTATCACAGCTCAATTAGACAATAACAAAAAATATAATGCTAAACAGACTTATCAAAATGTCATAAACAACGTAGAAATCCCAATTTCCGGATGGCTAGTGCAAAGTAGCCGCGAGATTGATCAACGGCCCAAATAAAGGCCAAGGATCGAATACAAGTGGAAAGGATAGACACTCACTCTGCAAATGACCGATCATTTGGATGGAATTTTGTCGACAATGGAGTGTCTGCAAGGTCCAGTTCGACTAAGCCAGCAACATCCCGAAGACCGGAAAGAAGGGGTATGCCATTTATGGGATTTGAACTGAGATCTATACGCTCAATTGATACAGGAATGCATCCCACACTCGTAGAAGATAAAGGAGAGAAAGCATTCAAATGAGTCAAGCGATTACTTGATAGGTTGAGAACAGCAAGCTTGAAAAATAAAAGCAAAAAAATTTTTTAGTCTGTTTATCCGATTAATTACATGTCTTCAGTATATATAATACCAATGACGAATATATGAGAATGTAGATTAGTTTTCACTCAAAAAACTATCATTTGGGCTTGATTAAACACTTGCAACAATTCCATACTACTTCTGAGTAACTGGTACTGGTATTTTTAAGTACGACTTCCCTACGTTTAGTGTATTTGCTATTATTTTCTTGATTCACGAAATGAGTTGACATCCACATACACTGGACTTATCACGGTTTTTTATTATTGCTATCACTATTATTGTTATTATCAAGGTTAAGCTTTGTTAATTTGAGTTAACGTGTTCGTTGTTGCTAAGTCATCTAAAACGTGTTTTTGCTGAGTACAGAACCAGAAATCATCGTTGGAAAAATCAAGACAATTTTAATCAACAGGATTTATTTTTATAAGAGTAAAACTTGTGCACTGTAGTAGAATGTAATTCCATTTTTATTGATCTATTGGATTTACTACACAGTGTAATAGTATTGTTTACTGGATTACGTTTTGGATATAGTTTATTGTCCGTAGTCATGCCATCGTCACTGTTATGGTCATATGACTATGGACAATAAAATATGTCCGAAACATGATCCAGCAAACATTACTGTTACATTATGTGACGAATCTAATAAAATCATAAAAATAGAAAAAGGATTCATTTTTCTCTATACTGCCACAAAACCTCAATTTTCATATTGTTGCATTGTAAAACATATTTTATGAACTATAATTTGACAGTAGCAAAAATGGTGGGAACATGCAGTCAAAAACACTATCAACAGACAGATGATTTACAATACTATCTGTATTATTTCGGCATCTCTGACAATCTGCTGTTTTCAATAACCAACCTGCAGATAATTCGTTATGCACTGAAACGTACCTATCAAAGCTTAGTTGAGATCGGTTTACAAAATGAGAATAAACCTTTAGGAAAAGACATTAAGAACAATAATGAAGACTACAAAGTTTCACGGTGGTAATGTTTACCTGTGCTTGATTTTGTTTTAAAATAGCGATCAAAGCGTGAACCACAACCTGTTTGTTCAGAGGCAAATACAGGCCTTGACTTAGAAGAGCAGGATCTGTATGCAATGAAGAAAGATCCAGACTACGCGTATTAGGTTGATAGCGCTGCACGAAGCACTGTTTTAAGGCTTCAACCCAAGTTTCCGGTAAAGAAGTACTATTTAGTGATTCGGGACCCGAAATTTTACCACTTATGCAAGGAACTCGTGGTTCGGGAACGATTGTTACGTCGGTTATCAACTGTGAAGCTTCATGGGGATTTCGTGTATTCTGCAAAGATTTGCGGTAGTTGCTTACCTACATAAAAAAAGTTAGACGCTAGATATAGATAAACCATAGTTAACAGAAACTTTTGGTGGTAAACAATGAAAACTAACAAACATCTTGAGATAAAGAGAGAACTAAGTATCATACTTACCTTAACCTGTCATAAGTTAATTCCATAATTACACAAGAAAACTAAGATTATTGCAGACAATTATTAAAGACTGGACATGAATGAGGTAGTTGAGTTGCATCCGCCGAGTATAGCGCGCCAAGCATAAAAGCAAACAATGTCAATCACGACATCCTGTCGCGGAAAAAGATGGCAGAATGGCGACGTAACACCACTTTAACAAGTTACTGTAGAGATTTGTAGCTCACTATGAGGATGATTAGTGTTCGACGTTCTCTGAGCTTAGCAATGTGTCCTTAGACGGTTCGTTACCAGACTAGACGATTCCATCAGCATTTACTTCATTTTACCATACTTCAAATTCTAATTTCTGTCCTTGCGAAGTGTGATACTAGACGACCTTTGTCCAGTTTGGTTTTGTTTGACTTACTAGTTAAATTTGGTTAAGTAACTGCAGATTACGAAGATAAGTAGTTAATCTGAATATATCAAGTTAATCCCGCAGTTTTTATTCTGCTTTAGAAATTTGTTGACTTAGTTTACATCTAAGTTTTCTTCTCTACTTGGCTTTCAGATGGTTTTGGGCACTTTTGTTGCGAAAAAAACAACCTCAAAGACAGATTTTTAGACATGGTTACATTCTTGTCGGTCAACGGGATCAGATAGTAACAAGTAAGGATTTACCTCTTTTTGTCTAATTTTGGCATACATCAACGCATTTTTCCCCTCCACATATGCATTATAGAAACGTAACTGCGTCCCGACAATGGCACTGATCAGCTCCTGGAGGTCGATCATTGAGCGATTAGCACCGTGGACAATCGTTATCCTGACCCACACTTCTCCCGCAGCCAGGCCACTATTTTGAGCCGTAACTCCAGAAGCTCCTGACCCACTGATTAGCTAAGAAAAGAAAACGTGAAATATATGATGACTCAAAATTTGCACAATTACCCTTTGAAACTCAAACTCAACATGACCCTGACAATATGAAGGTAGTAGTGTTATCCAGTTAAATAATTTTATAAGTGAAATTTTGATTGGTAGTAAGCAATAGGAATTTATACACAACAAAGAGTAACCGATAAACACAAGGTTTGCACGAACTGTGTTAACATTCATCGTAGCCGAAATCCTCAACTATATGACAGTTAGAAGTATTATTTCAATGCCCAATGTTTCTTTAAAAACACATTGTTCTCTTGACATCGGTTTTACAGAGGCGGACAGAATATCATCGATCCAAGTTGTCATACTTCACAGTAGCATACAAAGAACATTCTAATCAGTACAATTGGCAGACACTTTAAAGACAGGAAATCAGGTTGATATCTGTAGTGCTTTTAAAATAATATACGTACAGAAAATGCATGGATTACTAGGCTTCGTACAAGCGATTGCTACAAAACGCTTCCAAATGGACCCCTGCATACAAAAGTAGAGTATAGCCAGTCTCTCACTTCCAAGGTGACTGAAATTTGATCTTATTTCACTTAAATTGTACAATTCCTTATTTTACCTATTGATTTAAACTCTATCTTATGGGTGTCATTTCTTTGCGTGTTACATGATGTCAGCTAATACTAATAGTTGCTTTCTTACATTTATAGCCCCTCTGTACAGGTAAATAGCGTGTTATATAGCTTAGCAATGGTTTCATGTGCAACTTATTGAGTTCCCAATTTGAAACTAATTTGTGACATTAATCACTGTGATTTTAAACTATGCAGCTGGGAGTATTCGAGGAATAAAATACATTTTTAGCCTACAAATATAATTCTTGCTTTGTTCGAACTTATCAAAAGATTAAAATGAGATCTTAACGTTGCTACGTCATCTGAACTGGAGAGTATAATCGATCGTAGGAAATTGTCAGATAAGAAAATAAGCAAAGCAAGCTTCGTTTTAGTAGATTTATGTTAGCTTCTGAAGTATAATTGGTGTAAAGGTATGTATTTTAAACGGACTTACACTCATGCTCATGGCACGCTTTATAATATCCATATTGTTACCAGAGGCCGCTGATTTCCGACTGCCAAACTTTCCTCCATGATCACGACGTCGTAAATATTCCTCAGTGATATCGACACGTCGATCATCCTCCCCATCTATAAATAAAGTAATGAATGAAGTGTGAACGTAGAAAATTTAGTTTTTAAGGATATGGTTGTCAGAGTAGGACACGGCAAGATCAGTTCCCTTACTCCTCCAATTAATGGGCACAGACAATATACGGTCTGAAATTGCTGTACACCGGTTCAAACTATCAGACTTCACATTGACTGTGCGAATGAACTCAACAAAAAAACAATAGATAAAAATATCAAAATCTAAGGAAGTCATGACACAGATGTCGGAAAAAGATGTAATACTGCGATTTAGATCAGGATTGTTGGTTACGACCGCACCACTGGGATCGATTTCATAGCACAACAGCCTACAGTTATCGGTTTTGATTCCCACGCAGATCTGACCAAAAAGCTCAGATAAAACAAGCAACAGGTCGGCATTGACTGATAAAAACGAGGTAGGACCTCGCACACAAGTGCATCACCTCGTTGCCACACTTCACAATAGTATACAAATAACACAGATAGAAAAGGAGTGACATCAGCGAAGATGAAGTAGTGTAAGAGAATAAACAACCTGAAGATAACAGTTGGTGAGAATATTCAGGCATTCGATGTCAAAGTGTGAATGCATCTGTGTCATTCTGACCAACTTTCAGCCATATCAGTCCTCAACCACTTATTCCTTTCCTTTGAGGGACTCCAACCAGACGGTCTATATCTCCCCATACGACTCAGGTCAACAGTTAAGGACTTCATCAACTGATACTAGGTCTTGGTGTGGTCACCCTGAACCTTCTAACCTAATCCAACTTCCTCTACCATGGCACGTCAAGGTAGGCGGTGGCTTAGCAAGCGCGGTACATGTCCAACCTATCTCAGTCGACTAAGATTAACAACCCCGTCAATCGACTTGTCTGTCTAGCTTAGTAGGTAGGCACTGCATTTTGGTTTGCTCACTTTTAAGTCCGGTCCTAATCCTACGGCTACTACTAGCATGCTGAAGTCGATGGTATAACGGTTAACGTAGGCAGTGACACAAAATCTCCAGTCAATATAAGTTTGCCACCCGGATAACTAGCGTAACTAAATACCTTAAATTTGATCTTTGTAACAGATACTGACCCTATCAAATGTTTGCGATGATATAGCGTTTTGGTATCTAAACGCTTCCCAAATAGACCACTTAGTTGCACGGTTGTACGGAAGTAGAAAAACTACTGCATAGTATGATATCCCTTCAGTAGGCATAGACATACCTCATCGGTGCCAATAGTATGCATTAGTTAAGGTTGCCTTTTGCATTCATGAAGAGAACCGTTGAGATTATTCCCAACAGTATCAGAGGTATGATAACTCCAAAGAAAAGTAAACGATCCCGGAGATTACTCGATGTACACATCTTACGTAACGGCTCACCACAAGCTGCATACATATGGCTTAAGGAGACGGGTTCTAACCCTGTCTTTCCTACTTTAGTCTGGGCAACTAGATAGTATCATACACTCAGTCCCACCAGACGGATAAATTTATGAGTTGTGCTCAATAACTGCAGTCGAGCAACCATTTTTTTGATAAAGATCACCTTGATCTGTCTATTTGGAATTACATTGCACATGCAGAATGCAACCAAGCAAATTGTTGGAATCGTTTAAAAAATCCACAGCTTCGATGAGTGACAAGTAACCCAGTGTTCAAAATTTAAGGCAGAACATAGGAAACTACAGGTTCATTACTTCTGGAACCCGAAAATTCCAGCTAGTTACTGTCGGTAGAGTTAAACATCAATACCAAAATTAGACATGAGTCATATTGTACACCCAGATCAAACCAATACTTACAGTTTCTCCATCTGTAATGGCCTGATCTGTTACGATAACTACCGTGGGGCATTACTGAAGTGAAGATTATCCGTAGATTTCTTTAGCCCGTAGATATGCTGTTGCAGCCGCGCGAAAACAAGTGTAGGAAAGTTCTGCAGTGGCAATATACTCAACCAAAACGAGTTTCTGAAAAAGAAAAAAAACATGAGGCGATAACGATGCAAGAACAAAGTGTTTAAGCGTATGTAATAATTAATGAAAACCAATTAAAGTAGTTGGTAGTGTACAAAAGATTAAGTAATCTTAAATCCCAATTGGAAAGTAAGGCTGTTACACCGATCTCCCCGATAAATATTACTGAGTAAAGACAGATAGGGTTGTGGGTTTCAAAGGTGGCGGCATACTACTTTTTGTTCGGGATGATGTCCATATACGACCAGCCACTTCAGAAGCACACGAACGTGGTGCCTGAGGAAAGGCCAACTGTGAGGTGAAGTCAAAGCAAGATTTCCGTACTATTGGGGTAACGTACCGTAGTCCATCTTGCCCTACAAATGACTTCACACCAACTTACAGATGCAACTGGAGAAGCAACAGATGCCTAATAGTTCCGGATCTGAACGCTCCACACATAAACTGGACGCAGCTTAGTTTTAGACTCGGGTAGCTGCTTCGAAAATGATCCACTTTCAACCATGCTAAAATATGCTGTGGTTCAGATCGTAGCTTGCGCGATAAGATACGATTATGAACACAAGTCATTGTTATTAGATTTAGTTTTAATCCGCCAATGTGAAGATATTATGGATCTGCGACAATTCCTTCAGTTAGCTAACAGTGATCATATGGTGCCAACTTTTGGTTTTCGAGTTTGATTACGAGCCTGCTTCCTCTAAACCTGTGTGGGGCGCAAACATTCCGAGTATGGGGGACTGAGCAGTCGATAAGATTGGACTCATCAATCGAGAACGCCCGGGATAGGTTTAGAACTCTATTCGAAGAGGTGACGCTACTTATTTCAAGGTTGATCCCATGGAGATTCTAACATTAATCTCGTAATTTGATAAAAACACTCAGGAACTATTAAGGCAGACATTCTTTATGGAACTTGTTTATAGAAACAGGACTGGAAACATTTAAAACTGGGCATTATATAGTTCGTAATCTGTGAAACACTGATTAGTTTCTAATGTCTTGCGGGAAACAACTCATAAATGATTGCCAAAACTGTCGTAAAAGAATGTTCGCATTCATCAAGTCAAAAGAAAATGTGGAATTTCCTCTTTGATGACCGATAAGTTTCATAGTCTGGCGGAATCGAATCCGTCCAAGGCTGAATGCCCATTGGATTACGTCAGTAAAGTCTTCTCTGTAGATCATGATGGTGAAGGGCTTAATAGTGGTATCAACCAAGCCCCACCAATGGACAGTGCTCGTAACAAAGGAAACCTCCAGCTATTCATTAACCTTAAACCTGGAAAATCATCGAGTCCCGGTGAGCTGCACACCAGAATGCCGTCTTTGCTAGCGGACACCGTTGCTGAGCCACTTACTGGTTTTTTCAATATCCTTATCTCAGGCTCGCCATTCAAGAGACCAGAAGAATACTGCAATCGCCGGTTGGTGGCTACTATCCTATGAATCTAACTAGCATAGTTATTAAGGTTATAGGAAAAATAATTCGTGATAAGGTATTCAACTAAGTTGAATCAATTAACATTTTGGCACAACAGCAACATGGTTTCAGTACTGGAAACTCATGTTTGACAAACATTATCGTCAGAGAGGAATGGGTTGCAGCCCGTTATTGTAAGCTGCCAATAGACGCCGTGTTTATGAACTACACTAAGACATTCGATAAATTCTCATGTAAAATTACTAGGAGAACTATCCTCTTTCGGGTTTGGCGCTGCACCGCAAGCCCAGATTAGAGACATAATAATAATAATAATAATAATAATAATAATAATAATAATAATAATAATAATAATAATAACTACATTATCCCAAACAATTTCGGTACAATTTGGAATTTCCGGCGTGCACTATAGAAAACAAGAAGTGGGGGTTAGTGGGACAGTCAAGCTGGAAACCTGTGATGAGTGGAGTTCCTCAAAGAACATTTCTAAGTCCCTTACTCTTCTTCAATCAATCAATCATTATCAACATAGGACCAGGCATTACTGCGTAACGGTCTGAGTTGCCACACCTCACGTCAATTCATCAAGTAGAAAGGTAGTGAGGTGAAGGATGAAGATAAGTGAATGCAGTCAAAATAAATATAAAGTACGAAAAGAAAGGGAAGAGGAGCGACAAAATGGTGAGATTCTGTATAGCATCGTTAAGATGAGGATAATGTATGTATACATTTGCACCACTGACATCGGTTCTGAGCCATATCACCTAGAGTCTCCAACCACTGATTCCTCTTGTCCCGTGGACCCCAACCACCTAGTCTGCATCGCCTCACATGGCTCAAACACTTCATACATTGGTGCCATGTTTTAGTCTGGCCGACCCATTCTTTTTTCCAGCCTGAACCCACCTCGCCAACATTGTGTGACGAGGCAATCGGTGACTAGGCATACGTAGTACGTGTCCCAACCATCTCAGTCGATGAAGGTTCACAACCTCGTCAACTGACTTACCTCTTCTCCCTAAAACTCTACACCTAACTTCTGCATTACTCACATGGTGACACCACGGAATACGTCCTATACTACGAAGGCAACGGTGGTCAAACACCTGAAGCCTTCTCATGTCTTCCACTTTCAATGGCCATGTTTCACAGCCATACAGTAGAACAGAGCGGACTGCTGTGCAGTACACGCGACCCTTAATAGACAAACGAATATCACGGCGGCGCCATAGGTGGCGCAAATTGGCAAAAGCCAATCGAGCCTTTTGTATCCGTGCAGAAATCTCATCGGCAACTAACCCACCCCAGGGTTGATCCTACTTCCCAGGTAAGTGAAGTGGTCAACACACTCAACCACTTCACTCTCTATTGTTAACCGCGGTACCGCTGAAGACCAGTCCTGGAGCAAAAATTTGCATTTGGGTGGTGAAAATCGCATCCCAAACATTCTCAAATTCCCACTCAAAGTGTTCAGAAGACTCTGCATCTTGTCAGCGTCTTCACCTAACAGGACTATGTCATCTGCATATTCTAGATCTAAGGAAAATTCACCTGTGATCCGGTCAACGTCTTTGTAATTAGGTGACGAGAGGGAAACCTCCATAAGAATATCTATGATAAAATTAAATAAGAATGGGGATAGTGGGCATCCTTGACGGACACCACTTGATGAGTATAGCTCCCTGGACAACTCACCATAGGCTCTAACATGCCCACAAGTGTTCGAGTAGAGAGCTTTCAATAAGGTGATGTACTTACTAGGCACGCCTTTCAGTGACAGACATTGCCATAAGACTTCTCGATCAACGGAGTCAAATGCCGCCTTCAGGTCGAGAAATACAGCTATTGTCGGGCGTCTGTAAGCATGCCTATGTTCCAGGACCTGGCGCAGTGTGAATATTTGGTCGATACATCCACGGCCAGGTCTAAAGCCTGCCTGGTTTTCTCGGGCTTGCTGTTCCCGAGCTCCACTCAGGCGTCGGAGAATTATAGAACTTAGGATCTTAGACACTATGTTTGTCAGGCTGATTCCTCTGTGGTTATCACAAGAGGACTTCTCGCCTTTCTTGAAGACTGGGATGATGAGTGACTTAGACCAGTCGGAGGGGATCGTATTTGATTCCCATATACTGGCTAACACTTCCGTTAGCCTGACTAAGAGCACTCTACCACCATTCTTGTATACCTCAGCAGGTAGTCCGTCTGGTCCTGCTGCCCTTCCCGTTTCAGGCTACCTACCGCTTTCTCAACTTCTTCTAGTGTTGGGGGGCCTGTCTCTATGTCCCATTCAGGATCCGACTGGATAGCGGGCAGCGCAATCGTGGCTGGAGGCCAGTTAAACTGTTCCTCCAAGTGTTCTGCCCATCGTTCCAGTCGTCTCCCCTGCGAGTGAATCGCAGATCCGTCCTTCTCCGCTATAGCCTCACTAACTGTTGTTGACCATTTCCCCCCAGTCTCCTTAATAAGTCTAAATAACTGTCTACTGTTACCGATCGCCGCTGCCTTTTCCATCTCTTTAGCCTTCGCTGCCCACCATTGTTCACGATTGTTGCGCAGACTTCGGAAGAAGCTGCTAATATCTACTGACTCTTTTTAGCCACTATTTTGGAGTCGGTTACAGTATTCAGTGCTGCGTTTACAGAAGACTGAAAAAGGCACCAAGCTTCTTCTGGATGAGTGACAGTCTTTTGTTCCGATAACTGCCTAGCCAACTTCTCACTGAACACGGCTTTGGTGTTTTCGTTGTCCAGCAGAACTCGTAGTGGTTTTGTTGCCAAATTTTTTCTACGTCCATTGAGACGCAGGCATATACGTGCTCGGACCAACGCATGATCGCTGTCCAAACACGTACTCCAGAAGGAGCGGCAGTCTTCCACCGATCCTCTCCAGCGATGACTAATAGCAATGTGGTCTATCTGTGTCCATCGCTGAGTCGAGCTCGGTGGACGCCAGGTCAGACAGTGCCTTTCTTTATGTCTGAAATTGGTGCTGGCTAAAAATAGGCGGTTATCTGAGCATAGTTGTAATAGGCGATCACCGTTATCTGTACGTTCAGCTGGGATTCCGAAAGTGCCACCTAAGTGCCTTTCTGCCTCACTCAGTCTACCCACCTGTGCGTTGAGGTCACCTGCAACAACCACTACGTCCGAACGTTTGGCTTTCGAGAGGAGGTTAGACAGTTTATGGTAGAACTCGTCCTTCACTTCATCCGAACTACAGTCAGTGGGTGCGTAAGCAGAGATTACAAAGAGACAACGGCGAGTCTCACTATTCCTTTTAGTTCTCACTGTGCCGTTCAGCCTCATAGCGCAGAGGCGACTATCAACTGGGATCCAGTCTAGTAGTGAGTTTTCTGCCCTGGTGCTTAATGCTATACCTACACCTGCAAGACCACGAGAGCTAGCTATCGAATCTCCAGAAACTCGAAGGGTGAATTTTGCAGATTCACCAGATTGGTCAGGAGAGGTCAGGTGAATAACCACACTTGGGTCCTGTATGCGTGTCTCACAAACACAGCACACATCCATGCCCGAGTTGCTAGAGTCTTTGCCAACGAAGCCTGTTGGCCAATTTGACGGAGGGTGCGGACATTGAAGGCTCCAATATGTAATTTGGAGCGTGGTTTAAGGAGACCAGGGACGCTGTTCTGTGGACTCAGATCGTTGTCGAAGGCTGCAGAGGTAGGAGAAATTGAAGATGATGCAGCATCATTAATTAAGAGACGTGAAGGAAGATTAGAAGGTAATGATGGAGGAGGAGGAGAGCAGTCAGAAGAAACTTGGGTGCTGACAGAGTTGTGAGGGCGGTTGACACTTCCCGGCTGCCCACACCGTGGAAGGCTATTTCTTCTTAAGGTACCTGAAAGAGATTTGTGTGACCGCAGAGCCCATCGGACATCTGCTTGAGGCCTGTCACACCCAGCCTTTTGAGTATGATTATTTTGAATTTTTGTATTTTTGGGGCCGGATGGTCGAAAGGAAACGACAAGTGAACCAACACCGCCGGCCCGGCAGACCGTGGGGCGTGGTGGAGTGTGTTATTTTTGGGGCCGACCTTTTCTAACCCCCCCTTCCACTGAGAAGGCAGCATCAGCATGGCACTGCTGGTCAGGTCATCCAAGGGAAACACCTTACTGCTGTCACACCCCATCCAGCTAGCAGCAGTACGACTTCGCCCTCAGACCCCCATCATAGTGTAGCAATTTACACTATAACGGTAACTGCTTTTCGTCTAACCACTACCCAACAGACCTTTCTGGTATGGTAGGACCTCGAGGGAACAAGCGTTCCACCAGCATAGCTCGTTGGGTCATTGTGATATGCAAGCCCGACCACCACGTCAAGGTAGCAGCTATCGGTCGGGCCTTACTCTTTTTGTTATATGTCAACGAGTTACCACAAATGCTGAACTCTCCGGCGCCTTTATCCGCCGACATAATTTTCGGAGCCATATGTAGTGATGCTGATAGGTGCGCACTTCAAGTAGATTTGGACGAACTGGCAGTTTCGTAAAAACGTTGGTGCCTGGAAATCAACTCTAATAAAGGTGCGATAATGCATATTAGTCACATCAACTGTTCCCGGTATTCCGTTGATAGTAGGCCACTACTCCTAATCGTTGAACTGAGAGACTTAAGTGTCATCCTGAGTCATGAATTTCAGACTTCAGCATACGGTAATGCCGCTGCAGCAAAAGGCTTGCATGCATTACGGTCCATCCGCAGAGCTTTGATCAGGATAAGTTCAAAATACTATTATACTCAAGTTAGACCTCACTTACAACACTGCATTCGAGTGGCTGATCCATGCCTACAACAGGATGCTGACGCACGCCAGGAAGTCTAAAGGGGAGGCACTAAGCTTGTGACAGGCGTTTCGAATCTACCTTATGAGTAACGACTGGACCGGCTAAACTTATTCCCGCTGTTTTACCGTAGGACACGATGTGACCTTATACTGGCATTCGGTATCCTGAATAATGACTTCAGTACTGATATTTTATATCTTTTCTCTCCTGCTAGGATTGATTATCCGCGAAGGCGCCACAAAAACTCCAAAAACCTCGAACGAACCAACCTAACACGAAACTATGGTTCTTCATGGTGTGGTCAGCGACTGGAACTTCTTACCTAAGCAAGTTTTAATAACACCTTTGATCAACACGATTAAGGACAAACTGGTTCTTTACAGAGATACCTTCTGCAAGGATTAACATTTGACAACTTGCATACTACCCTAATTAATGGAAAACTGGCTAATGTTGAGTGCCAGCAACCTGTTTAATAGCCAGATCTACTTTGGTAACAAAATGCGTCGACGAATTGTTTATACGTCTTCGTCTAGCTCGTATAAACCGCTGTTGCATGGAGGGGGGGGGGTGAGTAGAAAAGTGCGTTAGAGATAGCTTACTTAACTAAGACGAGAATCTGGAAGAGGCAGGTTGACAGACAGTAGGGAACAAGTATATACTTACGCCAAGCGATGAAATTCAACCAAATAAAGTTAGAAATCCGCAAGTAGATGTATTCCGGAAACTGAAACTTGGGGTAGGACTTTGAATGCATAACAGTCAAACGTCCTTTCACATCACTTAAAACAAAACGAAAATATGTACTTGACTATAGATAAGAGATATCTTTCAGAAAACAAATAATTATAATGGATGATCTGAGCAGAAAAATGTATTAGTGTTAAGTTTGCAGAATACGTAATTTCATATAACGAGGGTGCAGAAAAGCCAGTACATATTTGTAGGTGTCATCCCACTCAATGAACACCATTTTATTATATAGTAATCATGGATGGTGGCTAGCAGTGGACTCCAGGATGCACATACAAGCAATGACACTAACAGCAATTTATGGTTGAAACAGGACAGAATCAGAAAATGGTGGAATAAATCAGCACCAATGCGAGGTGTGGTACCGAAATTCAAGGAGTAACAATCGAAAACACTGGAAATGACTCGTTAATTCCGATAATAACTATTTCGCTCAGTTGCTTACTCGAGAATCTACACTGGGGAGAACATAAGTCCCAGAAGCAGCAAAAAATGGACAAAACTCTGAATACACTTGCTGTAACGACAGGCCATTCTGTGAGTACTCTCTGTATGAGAAAACCAACAGTATTGGGTTTGCCACTTTCAAAGCTATTTGCAGAGCCAGCACAGCGGTCCTCTTGACTTGCCAAAAATACTCAGTAGCCAAGGCATATTACTGTAGTTTTAGAGGGATGCTATGGGTAAGTTGGTCCAAAAAAGGTTTCAAGAGAACATCCACCAGATAGCAAAGCGGTAATCCCAACTACAACCGTAGTTAGGGCTGTACAGCACGGCTTTTTCGGAGGCTCCTCACACCAGAAATTTCAGGTAACGAATGAAGAAGACGAAAACTCCATTAACGTCATTTTCAAGAAGTCTACTAAGGCACTTAACAATACTGTGGTATCTGCCAACATGGATCTCAAAGTTCGTTGTCGAAGGAAGATGGGAACGGGGTCAATTCCAAACTCTTCTCATAGTAGTTGGTAGATAGTAGAATACAGAAGCCCACTATCTTGGGCAATATGCTGTTTTTTCTTGGTGAATTTCCAGATACCAGGGCGTCTCATGGTTCTCCCAGCTGATGATTTGGAGGTCGGTTAAGAGTACGGTGGTGACGATCGTGCACACACACACACAATGAACCAACATCAGTAGCGTGTTCATTTAACTACATAAGTTTTTGATGCCTGTTCACACAGGCAGCTGTCTAGCCATATGCATGGGTCACATGAACCGAGACGATCAAAATGCTGATGGGATATTCAACCCCAACTAGGCATACGCAACGACCTAGTAAACGTATTAAGCCAAGAAACAAACTTCAGAACGACAAATGACGGTCTTGCTTCACAGATTCTGGAAAATTTCGTAGCGACAGGTAGTTTTCCATGACCAATACCCTAGGGTTCGACTAGACTCAATATTCATCCTAAACTTCATAGTTTTAACGGACTGACTAGGCCGAAGTCACAGGGTCAGGTATTCATGCCATTAGGTGCGTTGTTGGGTTACATTGCACTGCTCGTAGGCGATCATCCGGCCATCCAGTAGGGATACATCGGCCTTTTAACATGGTCTATGAAATAGACTATTCCTGACTGGTTACCAAATTTTATTCACCATCAGTCTCGGATTCATGAGTAGTGCACAGGCACGAAGAATTGGTGACTGACCCCTACGCCCGTCGATTTCGCGTAAAGACTATTCCAAGACTTCGAGCACCGTACACAGCTTTCACTGGTATCAGGGCTAACGTGTTCACGGTCTTGAATGCATTCAACAAAGGGAGCTATGCGCTGGAAGTATGCTCGTCTTATAACGGTGATAGTCACTCTCACTTTCGGTGTGAGGGTCGATTTAACCAATGAAGGGTGGACCAGGAAGCTGAACCCTTTCCTTTTATAGTACGATGAGCAGATGGGAAATATTGTGGTGATCCTCAGAATTTGGAGAGATTACTTCATACGGAAACCATCTTTTTTTCTGCAGGTTGTAGGACTTGACAGGAAATAGCAGGATAGTGAAAAGTCAATGATTAGGCAGACTACCTTGGAGTATTCATTTTCGGGTCATAGAACTCACACTTGAAGTCGACTTTCGCAGGCAGCGTCGTCGCCGCCGACCACTTACTTCTCAAGCGGGTTGGGCAGGCCCACAGATGTCGAAAGATGAAGATTAACTCATAGCTGTTTGCCCCTAAAACCAGACTGTGGGTTCAAATGGAAACCTAAAGTACATTATTCCAGAAATGCGTTACACCCCTATGCAAGCCTTGGTGCCAAATGAGTGTGTGGAGTCCATGGCATTATCTAGACCCAAACCCCCTTCCAAATACAGAGGCCGCAAGGTCAAAGAACGCACCACTTTAAATGTAACCATTTCACCTCTAAACGAAGCAGCACCCACCCCACTGGCTTAGTGGGCTGAAACCAAGCACGTACCTCTGGGTTGCTACAAGTACAAACTTGACGGACTGTGACAGAAGACATCAACCACTCACAGTCCCCTTCTGCTGTGTTGTTAGCAATGAAAAAGTAGGTATACTGAACGTTCAAAGAAGAGACTACCGCTACCCGTTTCAGGAAGCTTCTAAGCAACGAACAGTTGAGATTTCACACCATCAGCCAGGGAAGTAAATCAGCACTATCTGCTAAGTGTCTAATACGAGTCCCGTACACGCCCCGACTGCTAGATCATACCAACAGAAATGGGAGAAGTGAGATGAGTGCATTATGAGTAAGTTTTGGTGGCAAGTTTACACCCAATAAGTTTTCCTTTCTGCAGTTTTCGCCGAAACGTAACCAAAGTGAAAAAGTTATCAGAGTTAAAACTTGTCATAAAAGCTTATTTACAACTTATGAATCCACTCCATGAACCCTTCATTGGTGGAAGAAGACAGGCCTCGACACGTATATACACGTTCGAGTGACATAGTTAAGTCTAGAAGGAGTGTCTGAAGACTACTTATTCACGGGTCCTCTAGTGCCACAGGACGTAAAACAATGAAAGTCGATGGCACTAGGTAACTACTTTGGTGTGTCCGTAAATCCACTTCAGCGCTGGTGTCGCGTATGGAAAGTGATTTTTAATTCCGATAAGTGTTGGACTTCGTGCTCCAAACATATCCTTCCAGGTTTTTTGTCACCACTCCCATCCTCCCACTTAGTGTGGATCTAGGTTTTAAATACTCACCGCGTTTCAGACCCACGGAGTGTGTTGACTAGCAGGTTTCCAAGGTCAGAAAACTCCCTGATTTCCCTCTTCGGAATTTCGGCACTCAGAAGCTGAGGTTACAGTATAAAAGCCAGGCAATCATCCATTGCTCAACTTCTTCCTCCATACTATTGACACTATTTTAACGATGAAGGAGCGTAGACTGGAGGGAGTGCAACGGGAATTCGCTCCAGGGGAAATGAAAGATAGAACCAGCATCTGGTGTCATGACAAATGCAAGACTTTTAACCAGAACCCTTATGGCTTAGAAGGCTAAATTTCACCATTAACATTACTTTCGGGATTATTACAGGGTTGATATATTTTCCCAACAACGGCCTTCTGCCGAGCTCTCCCGAAAAATACGACACCAGACATTAGGCGTTCACTCTCAACATACTAAGGTCAAGTCAAACGTCTTTACCATAAAGTGCAGCATTACCCAGAACCATACACCCATCTCAATTAGAAAAAGCGTCGCCCCAAAACAGCCTTATTACTTCTCAACAAATGCTTTGCAGAATGTGGTCTGAAATTAGTACGTGATACTAAGGATAAGTAACATCACTCGATATCCTCTGGGCTTAAACAGTAGAGCACTACTTTGCCTCCTAACTTCCTGATCATTCTCTCTGCCCCCGTCTGTCAGTTTGTCTCCTCTCAACGTATTTTTACAGTCTTATTCCTAAAACTTTAAATTTCTCACACGGATTCCAATGGATTTCCACAGTTATCTATCTCACATCAGTTTCGTTTCTTGGATAAACAACATTCACTAACGCTGAGTTCGAGTGTTTTCAGCGCCATCGGTTCGGAATGCAGCTCCAGCTTTGTGACAGTTAAATCCAAATGACTGGAACTTGATATGTACGTCTTGAAAACTTTCCCAAATTTTATCTTGTCCGGAACACGACTACCACCAGGAATTATACAGTCTGTTCCCTGATGCCTCTTCATGTGGTGACTTGTATCTTTATCTATACAAGTGAGGACAACAAACTTGGTTAATTGTTTGGCAAATTCAAGTGTTTGACAAATAACCACTTCCATCATATCACTTGTCCCTTCGGAAGACTAACCGACGCCATCATTATCTACATATCATCTTAATATTGATAATTATGAAGTTGACTCCCAGTGAACATTCTCTGTTTCTGTTCGTTGCGAATAGCTACTGTGAACCGAGTGATACCTCGACCAACAGAGGGTAGTTTCAGCCAAAATCAGCCCGGCAGTTATAACCGAAGTGTTATTCCACGGGGAGAAAACGAAGTAACAGGCACAGAAAAGAGGCTAGAATTCCTAAAAAACGTTTGTCTCCTAAGTGCACGTTTCTCCCTACTTGACTTGCCTTTTCTATGACGCTAGTTGTATATGCTTCCTCCTCTAAACACTTAAAAACGTGAATTTCATACCGTCGTAAAGTGTCGAACTGTCATCCATGTTTACAACCTTGGCAGGGAGGAATGTGCCCTTGGTATGAAGCTAGAATTTTGGCGAGGTCCCCCCAGGGTGGCGTATGAATGGATAGCCCAGGCCTGGTAGATGGCACATCAGATACTTAGGAGGCCTAGTATATTGAGTGCCATAGAAGGTGATGATAGTGCACTCTCTTATCTGGCGAGCCTACCAAATTTACCAAGTAGCAGACTTGTAAGTTGGCAGTGACTTTGGACTCACATCCGGCAACCTGGAAATCGCTGAAGCTTGCTCCGGGCTTGGAAACTTCGGAATACGGACGAAGTTTCTATGGAAATGGATGATGCTGTAATTCTGAAGTGTCTGTTTTGATAGGAACGCATTTCTGACCGTATAATGTGTGGAGAC